GTTTTAGTCATATGTTGTGTGATATCATTTTTTTCTTGTTTTTCCAACAGGCTACAATATAAATGTTTTGAAGGCAGACAAAATCTGCTATTTTTCTGTCACACTGACAGCATTTAACACAGAAAAGCTCAACAGTTTTGAGGTGTGGACCACAGTTGCCATCACCACCCATTCGAAGGGACTCTGGCTTGATCTCATCATACGTTGTCAGGAAACACACAGAATGCCCCTCTAAAAGGTGAGAGATCATTTTATAAATCGATGAGTACATATGCTAAAAATCTTACTTTAAGGTCCTTTTTTTACACACTTATTATTAATCACTTTAGGCTTGATATTTGAAGCCTTTGAGGAAAAAATGTCACAATCATCATTTCATCATTTTACACACTCTGCACCCGGAACTTGTCACTATGGCAACCTGTCTCGATGCCTCTAAATCATAAGTGACCGTGTGTTCATGTGATACCCTAAAATGCAAAACTTAAATAAAACCACCAAAATGCACACCTAGAGCATTCCCAGTGTTCTTTGATACATTTCAGAGACTTACTATCAGTCTAACGCAGGATGGCATAATTCAACATCTGGTTTCATGGATTATGTTTTATTTTGCATTTTTAAATGTATCACTGGGTAAATTATTCCTTCTGTTTTCTCAAGCCTCTCAAGTTTTCACCCCAATAACAAAATATACCTAATGAGAAATCAAATGGAATATTTATTCCAGTAAAAGAGAAATGAAATTGTCTTTTTTGATCCTGGCATGAGATCCAAGGGTCAAAACAGATGATACCCAAAGCAAAACCTATAACATTGCTCTGAAGGAACCCCACATAAGCACGATTCATATGTTGTCTTGTTGGTTGTTTGGGGTTTTTCTTAAAGTGAGTGGCATCTCTGATCAAAAATGTTTAAATCTATTTCTAATAAGTAAAATCAACATTCTGAAGTATACTAAGAAAAATTTTAAAATACTGAAAATATCCTAAATATTGATTCATAGTATTAAAATATTTTTTATTATCAGCAAAGTCATGATCCCTTTAAGACACTATGTAAAAAAATTAATGGAAAATAGCCCTTAAGAATATACACAAAAGTGAGCAAACAGAACCTTGGATGGCTGTGTCGTGTTAGTTCATGAAGTTTTACCATCTATTTAAGTAATCAAAAATGGAAAATTCTGCAAAAGCAGAGGAGTGTGAAAAGATCTCTCTTGAAGAGGCAAAAGCATCAGTAGATTTGGAAACAGAGTCTTCATTCAGTATTAATGAAAACACAACCACTCCTGGGACTGGGCTTTCTGAAAAGGCTCCTATCTGTGGACAAGTAGACACACCAAAAAAGAGAAAAAATGGAATTTGAAGATGATCTTATAAAGGAAAGTTCTAGTTGTGGGGAAGATACTCCAACCAAGTAAAGAAAACTTGATGCTGAAATTGTCTCAGAGGAAAAAGGTTCTGGGGATGATGAAGGCATTTCAAGGAAAAGAAGAATGGAAACTGATGATTTTCCAGAAGATGAACCCTCTACTGGAGATGGCACACAGAAAAAGAGAAAAACAGAACTTGAAGATGTTCCTGAAAAGCAAAAAAACTTAGAAGAGGGACACAGTTCAGCAGTGGCTGCCCACTATAATGAACTACAAGAAGTTGGTTTGGAGAAGCGTAGCCAAAGTCGTATTTTTTACCTAAGAAACTTTAATAATTGGATGAAAAGCGTCCTCATTGGGGAATTTTTAGAAAAGGTATGACAGAAAAAAAAAAAAAAAAAAACGTGATATCACTGTTTTGGACCTGGAATGTGGTAAAGGTGGAGATTTGCTCAAGTGGAAAAAGGGAAGAATTAACAAGCTAGTTTGTACAGATATTGCTGATGTTTCTGTCAAACACTGTCAGCAATAGTATGAGGACATGAAAAATCATTGTCGTGATAACGAATATATTTTCAATGCAGAATCTGTAACTGCTGATTGTTCAAAGGAACTTTTAATTAACAAATTTCGTGACCCAGAAATGTGCTTTGACATCTGCAGTTGTCAATTTGTCTGTCATTATTCATTTGAATCCTATGAGCAGGCTGACATGCTCAGAAATGCTTGTGAGAGACTGAGCCCTGGAGGCTATTTTATTGGTACCACTCCCAATAGCTTTGAACTGATAAGACGCCTTGAAGCTTCAGAAACAGAATCATTTGGGAATGAGATATATACTGTGAAGTTTCAGAAGAAAGGAGATTATCCTTTATTTGGCTGCAAATATGACTTCAACTTGGAAGGTGTTGTGGATGTCCCTGAATTCTTGGTCTATTTTCCATTGCTAAATGAGTAAGAATGTCATTAATCTGTTACTCTTCTCTTTATGCCTTAAGAGAAATAAAGAAAAAAATTTAAAAAAAAAGAATATACACAAAAGTGAAAACAGATTCTAAGCAGAAGAATTGGATGTTTTTACTATTTTTATCTGTATTTATTAATAATTCTATAATAAATATGATTTTTTATAATTTGGTAAAGTATTCTTAATTTTAAGACATGGGATATCATAGAAGAAAATTCAATTTCACAAAATAACTAATGCCAACAGTGAGTAAGGCACTCTGTGTGACTGGTGCTGAGAAAAATGAAAATATAGGGGCGCCTGGTGGCTCAGTCTGTTAAGTGTCCAACTCTTGCTTTCAGCTCAGGTCATGATCTCAGAGTGGTGGGATTAAGCCCTGCATCAAGCTCTGCACTGGGTGTGGAGTCTGCTTGAGATTCTCTCCCTCTCCCTCTGCTCCTCCCCTGTCCTCTCTCTTTCTTTCTCTCTCTCAAAAACAATTTTAAACAAAGAAAAAGAAACAAAAATGAAAATATAAATAAAATGAAATTCTTCCTTCTAAGGACTTTAACCTCTGGTAGGAATCACAGAGAGGAGAATAACTGTCCCTATAATTTACTCCCTTCCCACTGGAGAAGGCACTTCATGGCTATTTCTAATCTTTATACGGACTCCACAGGTTAGAAGTTATCTCGATTTTGCAGATAAGGAACCTGAGGCTCAGGGCAGGAAACTGCACCCCAGACACAGCTTACATGTGTCCCAGGGCAGGAAACTGCACCCCAGACACAGCTTACATGTGTCCAGAGTTTGCCCTCTTTACTCCATCATGTTTACCAGCATGTTCAGACTAACAGCAAGGAACACATATGGCAAACAAACGATATATTTTCCAAAGAATTTCTTGACACTGAAGTCTGAGAGACTGTTATCTGAGCTCACAGGGACATCTCCCTGAACACCCATGGTTGCCTTCCCAGCAAAGTGCAGATGAGCTAGTTGCTAAACATTCCAGGGGACGGAATTTGAGATAACAAAATTGGTGACACTGATTTTAATGAAACAATTACAAGTGGGAACAGCCAAGTATCTAATTTCCAACTGAAAAACACTTTCATTAAAATACTGCAAACACCATTTTAAACACAGATAAGTTGCACTTTTCAAGAACTTGCAAACCCATTTTTTCGATCAATTATTTTGAGGTAAGTAAATCTATAAATATGTAAAATAATTGTTGGTTGGGTTAATGAAGTGCAGAGAGGTAAACTTACTGAACAAGGGGCACCTCGAAAGTTTACAGAAGAGCTAGGACAGGAATACAGCACTTCCACGTGGCCACATGCACATCTGCACACGACAGGTGCATCTGCATGCAATGGTGTACTTGCTTTCACATGGCTGCCTGCACATCTGCACACGACAGGTGTACTCACTTCCACATGGATGTGTGCACATCTGCATGCACCAGGTGCATCTGCTTCCACAAAGCTGCACGCACATCTGCACGCAACAGGTGTATTCGCAGACGGTATTGCAGCTCCTGTGTGCACCCCACCCCAGGTTCTGTCAGGATTCTTTTACAATTCAGTTATCTCTGAGAACATAAATAAAAATCCTAACATCAAGCACATTTCATACATGTTATCTCTAATACTGGAGGTTGATTTTGCTATAAATAAACCATCAAACTTCAGAGGAAGAGACTGAGCTCTGATTTTCTACAGCATTATCCCAAGGTTCATGTGGGGGAAGTGATGGACGGAGCGTTCTACTGCAGGTGGATCTCATGTCAAAACCCAAGTGGTTTTCCCATGCTGGTTTTGATTAGGTAACCTTCCCAAATATTAGTATTTATGGCCCAAGTTTTCCACAGAGTGACAAGGAGTCTAAGTGAACTAAGGAATAAGTAAATAAAATCTTGCATACTCAGACAAAAATCATCATGGTCACTTAATCATCTAACAAATAACAGTGAGACTTTTTTTTTAAGTAGACTCGGCTCCCAGCGTGGAGCCCAACTCGGGGCTTGAACTCACGACCCTGAGATCAAGACCTGAGCTGAGATCAAGAGTCAGATGTTTAACTGACTGAGCCACCCCACCCAGGTGCCCCAACAGTGAGACTTTGATTCTGTGAAGGACAGAGCTACTGCCAGGAGGGCAGGACCGTGGAGATGGATGTGCCCCTACCTGCCATGTGGGGCCAGCTGTCTAGCAGAGCCACACCTTCCCAGGGTGCTGGGAGTATTGCAGCTGTGGGGAGCCCATCCTCCTGTGGCCCCACATGTTGACACATTCATCCTTAGCCCAAGGGCCAGAGCCCGAAGGTGAAGGTTTAGGGCTTCCTGGAAAGCCCAAGTGAGCATCTGCAGGTGCCTGCTTGCAACTAACTTATAGAGGGCATTCCCTAACACATGACACGAGTGGAAGCTTGGCCCTCCTGCTTCCTATCTGCCCCTCGGGTGGATCTGTCTGCCTATCTGAAAGGCCTTAACCATGTTTCCTTCCCCTCTGAGTTTGCTTCCTCTCTGTGGGACCAGAACTACGCTGTATGAGGGCGGCGTAGAGGTTATCTTCCTGAAAAAGCACCTGGCAAGAATTTGGAATCCACCAATTATCTTGTTAGGTCTGTTTTCAGAATACGAAACACAAAAATTACAGAATTTTTGATACAAACCTTTCTTTCATTATCTTCCCAAGGATTTTCATCTTCTTTTTTCTATTATTAAAGAAATATAGTAATCAACTATCTGCAAGAAGGACACTGTCAGATAAACCGTTCCTCACTTTCCCAGTTGCCGTACAGACATTTCAGGGCTTCCTCTCCTGCTCTGACCTGGCCTTGCTCCTCCCATTTTCCACCCAGTTCATCAGGTACTACACCTTTCCTACTCTAAATTGTTCTCGTGCACTTCTCATTAAGTACTTTCTACAGAACAGGACACATTATATTCTCTGCTGCTCCTGTGGGTTTTCACTCATAGAGCCCCACCTTCAGAGATGTGCACCGCTCCGCCTTCCTGTTTCCCCAGCACTCGCTTCCCACTGGATGGGCAAAGCATCAACTACTCATCGGCCCCCAAGGATGATCTCACTTGTTTCTACCTTGTGTTATTAATGTGCATATTTGTGGGATATTCCACTCGGACAGTTCTCAAGCCTCCAATTTAGGTAAAACAGTGTGCCATGAGCACAATCTGACCTAGGTAAAAAGTATACACTTCATCTTTATTAGTTAATTAATGTTGATGATATTCAATTTTAAGGTGAAAATATTACTGAAGTGTCAGAGATCGTCAGAGTTACCATCACTGTAGAATTAACATATTTAAAGCATTCTGAGGATGAAGAGGTGCCCGAGGAAAATGGCTCTATTTTTTAATTCTGCTCTTGATTTCACCCACTTCTGTGCCAGTAGCATGCGTCATAAATAAACCACTTGTCCACATTCCCTGGGCTGGAGGTGAGCCATATCTGATCCTGACACCCACACCGACAGAGCTCCTCCCGGCCCGCACTGTTCCAACTCCGTTCTAACCACAGCAGAGAGGGGCTGGGAGAGGTGGTGACGAGGAGTCCGTGCCTGATGCGCACCAAGATTCTGCTCGGGACGATGCAATGTTTGCACATAGACAGAGCTGACGGCCACACAGCACTGCGAAGGTGCTTGTTACCACCAAATGGTACTCTTAAAAATGGTTAAAATGGCAAGTGTTATGTTTTATATATACATATATTTTACCACAAAAAAATGTTAGATGATAACAGAAACCCTTATGATCAAACATCAGAAATCTGTATTTTAAAAATAATGTTCACAATAGGGGCGCCTGGGTGGCTCAGTCATTAAGCATCTGCCTTCGGCTCAGGTCATGATCTCAGGGTCCTGACATCGAGCCCCGCATTGGGCTCCCTGCTCAGCAGGAAGCCTGCTTCTCCCTCTCCCACTCCCCCTGCTTGTGTTCCCTCTCTCCCTGTCTCTCTCTCTCTGCCAAATAAATAAATAAAATCTTTTAAAAAAAATAATGTTCAAAATAATATGCTCTCTTACAACTTTGCAAGGTCATTTTCATTTTACTCCACGATGATAGACTTAAGTTTAAGCACTTTAGCCATGGTAACTCAAAGCAAATCCACAAATGGTTATGAGACACTTATTGTGTATAAGGCACTGTCCTGGACACTGTGAAGGACACATGATGCCAAGACACATGCTCAGCCCCCTAAGGATTCCACAGGGGGGGCAGGGAGAAACAACACACAAAAAGAAAACTAATATAGTCAGTGTCTAATAAACATCACATGACTCATTTTTCAAATTAACAGAGAAATGAAACACAAAATAAAACTAGAGTTCACGAGAGCAGATAGAGATCACCATGGCCTCTTGGCCAGGAAGTGTTAATTAGATATCGTTTCTTTATTATTATTACTAGCTCTTATAATGTACATAAAATGCTTGCTTTCTTTCTGATCCCTCAAAAACTCAGGCTAGATTTTGGGGCCAAAAACCTGCAACTCCATGGGGCGTTTCATGCCAATAAGGAAAAGACACCAAGGAAGTTCTGTTCCGGTCATGTGGGAGGCAAAGATGGTGCTGTGTGGACGTCATAGCAGGAAAACTCTTGTAGCCATGAGTAACACAACACCTGCTGTCACAAGGAACAGACCATGGAGCCTGACACGGTAAATAGCTCTCCTGAGAAATTAGGCACAACTAGCATATGGTCTCACCAGGCAGAAGAAAACACAGCCTTGGATCATTCAAACCTGGGTTCAAATCCAAGCTCCCCCACTTCCTAAGTATAGGGTGGTAGCAGGTTACTTACGCTCTCTCCTATCTCTTTGCTTCTGGTCTACCAAGTTGGGTGTTGACACCCTGGGCGAAGAGTGCACGTGAGGTGAGGCGGGCCCGTGTGGCAGGGCTAGCGCAGCCCTGACAGAGAAAACACTCAGCAAACGGGGGGTCTGTTCTCCCCAGACCCTCCCTGCCCACCTCACGTCATTAATGTCTGGCCAAAAGAGAATGGGGGTTCCACTGCTCCATATCACCTTCTTTTCCCAGAAGCTGAGATTGCAAACCAAGACGTTTAAAATCTAGGTGCTTGGGTTTGCCATTATTCCGATGATGCATTAAGAAAGACACTTTGATCCACTCTAAGAAATTAAATCTACTGATTGATGTCAAGTTACTAATACACACAAAAACTCCCAGAGGCCCGAGCAGATTTACATAACAAGTCAATAAGGCATGGATGACGAATTTCAGTGGCCAGTCCACACAAGGCACTCAGGCTATTGCATAAACTCAATGTCATCACAATGCCCGTGCCCTCTTTCTATTAAAATACGACATTTGGCTATTACACAACTGAACCCCATGAGTGCCCCTCTATGCTACTCCCCCCAGTGCAGACAGGTGCTTTCTGTGTCGCTTCCCCTAATGCTCCAGGACAGACCCTGCTCCAACGCTCAGAACACACTCTTACACTCTGGCACCAAAGCAGCTAAATACTCTCCTTCCTCCTCAGTTGAAAGTCTTCCCAATCATCTAGATACACCCTATATACTTTCACTGAAAACCACCTCCAAATCAAAACTACTGAAGAATGGAAGGAAGGAAAAGAGAATTGTTTGAAAGGGTATTCCCTTTGATTGTCTGTTTTCGATCATGAACTCCACTGATGTTGAAAAACCCAAACAAACTTCATTTCCCACCAATGCCCTTTCCAAGGTGGGCAAGAAGTAGGAGACAACTCTGAGTCGCCCCAGCCCCTCCCACCAGCCCTCTGGGCTCCCTTCCCTCTGTTCTTAAATGGGGAGCAAGTTTAAGAGTGGAAAGGGATGGCTCACAAGGCTGTTGCATCCCCAAGTTTACTTATAGTTCTGGAGGCTTCAGCATTAGAATAGACCCAGACTTGATATCCCAGACATAATTATTACACAACCTCCTGCCTGGGGCCAAAAGGTTTAAAACAAGAGGGGCTCCAGGGGGGCTCACCTGACTCTTGATTTTGGCGAAGGTCAGGGTCTCAGGGTTGTGGGATCGAATCCCATGTTGGGCTCTGTGCATGGAGTCTGCTTAGGACTCACTCTCCCTCTGCCCCTCCTCCCCTAGCTTATGCTCTCACTATCTCTCCCCCAAAAAAATTTTAAACAAGAAACCACCTTGGGAAAAAAAAATCTAGAGATAGATAGAATTTTGAAAACAAATCCCCAAAAATCTATTTCTTACCTACATGAATTGTACATTTAGAGTCAATTTTGTCTTAAATATTCTCACCACAGGGACACCTGGGTGACTCAGTCAGTTAAGCATCTGACTTTGGCTCAGGTCATGATCCCAGGGTCCTGGAATCGAGCCCCAAATCAGACTTCCTGCCCAGCGGGGAGCCTGCTTCTCCCTCTCCCTCTGCACGTCCCCCTGCTCATGCTCTTCTCTCTCAAATGTTCTCACCACAAAAAAAAAAAAAAAGGAAATGGTAACTGTGGTGGATATGTTAATTAGCTTTAATTGCCAAATATTCCTCAATTAAAAAATTAAGATAAAAGGAAAGTAAATTTTGTTTTCCTGATACACATACTTTATACAGACTAGTCACATAATCTCATGGAGTACCACAGGAACATGCTTCCTGCGTTGATGGCACATCTTCAGCGTCTGGAGGGAGAGAGGGTAACAGAAGCGCTCTCCCGGGCTAGCTCATGCTGCCATCTATGGAGCATGCGCCGTATGTGTCCCTGCTTTCCCCAACAAGACGAGCTATTTACACAACACCAACGCCCCACAAAGCAGAATGTCCATGGTGTCCACAGACGCCTACATACCTACACACCAGCTGCTCTTCACCTCCCGACTCTCCCCTCTAAAAATATATCTTGAAATTTGTTGGGAAAACAGTTTTCAGTCTGTGACTAGAAGCACAGTGAAAGGTAATTAGGACAAGTATAGAAGCCATTAAAATTACTCACGTAATTTCTGGCACCCAAGAGACCAGATCTAAGGTACAGACTGCCTGGGAAACACACTGTGTTTCTAATTCCATGCTGATCTATATTCAGAATGCACTGGGCTTTCTGATTCTTTCTTCATCAAACGTGAGCTCCACCCAATGTGTTAAAAGGATAAGGAGGTTCCTTCCATCCACAGCATTAAATACAAAATAAAAGTAGAATCAGCTCACCTTGCTGCTTTCAAAATCAGGGGGGCTATTATGTATCTCTTCGTCTTCCTTAACTATCTCCTCTGGTGTCTAGAGAGAAAACATACCACGTTTCAGGTTTAGTGGCAGTCAAGCTATGTCAAACCCCATGAAAGGAGCAGAGGGGGTGGGTCGTGGAATTCTGTGAACCACTTCTGTGGACAGAGCTGAAAATGTGGCTCGTTTTTCCACAGTGCCTGCCCTGTGTTTTTGCCTTTTGCTCCACTTACGAAATGCTAGCCTATTTAACGAAATTGTCAGGGAAATCCTTAAGGAGAAACACTAGAAACCCCTTTCATGTAAACAGGAGTGGATTATCCCTCCAGATGCCTCTTGTCAGCAGGTAATAAATGCCTAGGATCCTCTGTTTGGCCCTGGGGACCCAGTGGGGACCCAAACCAGAGCCCTCTTTCCCTGTGTTCAAGACACGTCCGCCGCCACCTGGGCGGTCCTGCTCCTCACACAGCAGTGCCTGCTCACATCTTTGTATATTATTTCCCAGTTTTTGTGACTTGTTGGCAAAAAGCAGTGAGCTGTGTTTAACTGGTGCCCTGGAGCCTCTCCACGAGGGGAAAGCCATGTGGTTCTGTGGCTAAGAAAGAAAGGGCCCCCCTAGGGGCTACCGTATTTCTGTATGCGTCAGAGTAGGCACGTTCAGCGCATGTGCCACGTGTCCATCGCGGGCTGGCGAGGGGGTCTCCTGCTCACAGTCACCCAGGATGCCACACTGATGGAGACGCCAACTCCCCGTGTTTCCACGGCTTCAGGGGCAGAGGGGCAGTGTGGCTCTTAACACCTCCGCCAGGACATGTGGCTCATTACGTCCAGCCGCCTGTCGTCCACAAAGGCAGGCTGCAAAGCCACACCTGAGGTAAAGTGGGTGAAGAAGTATTCTCTCACCAAACAACCACAACTGGTGTCCATGAAGAGCCCTAAGGACCCCACAGCTCCTTCCAGCTGACCCTTGAAGGTGCAAGACTTAGTCTGTGGCTATGTAGACATGTGGGTGACTACTCAACAGCCAGTCCCCCTAGCCCAGACCTCGGCTGTCCAAATGCTCCGAAAACTCAGACTATATGAGCGTGCTCGTCCTGTAGCCTACGTGGAAAGTAATCGTGATGAATAAGACTCTGGGGACTGCTCCAATTACATGAAAAAATAAACACAAAAAGCACATTCTTTCAAAGAGTAAGTGATGTGATTTGTCCAACCATTGCTTCATTCACTTATTCGGCAATATACACAGAATGCCTGCATCCTGCAATCCTGACATATGACAGTGACAGTGCATGCAAACCAACGTGGCCCCCAAGATACTCAGTCAGACGGGGAGATGAACATTAATTAAGTCACACAATTAAATATAAAACCACAGCTGTGATATGCTTTGTAAGAGAGACACATGGAGAGAAATAGGATATCGCGGGGTTTAACATACACAGGAGACCATGGAACGTCTCCTCTGGTGTGACTACAACTTGAAATATGAGGAATGAGAAACATTAGTATATAAAAAGGCAAAGAGAGAATATTGCAGACAAAGGGGAGGGTGTGTGGCAGTCTTGCTGCAGGAGAATGCACTGAGGTTGAGGGGGACTGGGGATGGTCAGCCTACGGAGAAAAAGCGATCACAGTAATCTAGCCAGGGAATGGAGGCAGTCAGGACCGTGGGACAGTGGTGTAGACAGAGAGGGTGGGTCGCTTCCAGACATATTTAGGAGGTAAAACTTGCCGATGTTGAGATGGTCTGGGTACGGAAGAGTTGAAACAGTCAGTCTTGGGGATATCTCTAAGTTTGCTTTGGTCTGACCGGATGGACAATGTCATGCACCTACTGAGACAGGGAGAGAGCAAGGTGTGGGGATGGTGTGGAAGGACACGTGTGTGTTCTCACCGTGCTGAACTTTAACGTCTCAGAACATCTAACTGGTGATGTAAGTTCATAGTGTGTGTCTATCTGGATGTCTGTGTGTGTGCGTGTGTGTGTGTAGATGTGTGCATGTGTGTAAATGTGTGTGTATCTCTGGATGTGTGTGTGTGTAGATGTGTGTGTGTCTCTGGATGTGTGTGTGTGTGTAGATGTGTGCGTGTGTCTCTGGATGTGTGTGTGTGGATGATGTGGGTGTGTGTAGATGTGTGTGTGTCTCTGGATGCGTGTGTGTGTGGATGTGTGTGGGTGTCTCTGGATGCGTGTGTGTGTGGATGTGTGTGGGTGTCTCTGGATGTGCGTGTGTGTGGATGTGTGTGGGTGTCTCTGGATGTGTGTGTGTGGATGTGTGTGGGTGTCTCTGGATGTGTGTGTGTGGATGTGTGTGGGTGTCTCTCTGGCTGTGCGTGTGTGTGGATGTGTGTGTGTGTCTCTGGATGTGTGTGTGTGGATGTGTATGTGCATGTGC